TTGCAGATTCCATATATAAGTGAGACCCCAAGTAGTATTTTTCTTTCTGTGTCTGACTTATTTCACTTAGCATAATGTTCTCCAGGTTCATCCATATTGTCACAAATGGCAGGATCTCCTTCCTTGATAAAGCCAAATAATATTCCATTATATATATAAAATATATATATATATATATAAAAATATAAATATTATTTGCTCCACTCATCCATCGATTAACAGTTAGGTTATTTCCAAACCTTGGCTACTGTGAATGAACATGGGAAAGCAGATATCTCTACAAGGTGTTGATTTCATTTCCTTTGGGTATATACCCAGAAGAGAAATTGCTGGGTCATATGTCAGTTCTATCTAATTTTTTGAGAAATCTCTATACTGTATTCCATAATGGCTGCACCGATTTACATTCCCTGTGTACAAAAGTTTCCCTTTTCTCCACACTCTTGCCGACACTTGTTCTCTCTTATGGCTTTAATGTTTACATTTGAGTCTATGATGTATTTCAAGTTAATTTTTCAGTATGGTGAGAGGTAGGATTCTAAATCAATTATTTTGCATGTTCATAACCACTTGTCCCAGCACTATTTATTGAAAATATGATTCATTCCTCAATGAATTATCTTGGTATCCTTGTTGAAAATCACTTGACCATATATGTCAAGGTTTATTTCTAAAACCTGAATTCTATTTCATTGAACAGAAATATCTCTATGCCAGTACCATACTATTTAAATTATTGTAGCCTGGTAGTAAGTTTTAAAATTTGAAAGTGGGAGTCCTCATACTTTTTCTTCTTTTTTATTAAAGAACTGTTTTGGCTATTCTGGGACTCTTGCATTTCTACATGAAGTTTAGCATCAGACTGTCAATTCTGGCAAAGCTGAAATTTTGATAAGGATTGTATCGAATCTAGTGCAATTTAAAGAATACTGCCATTTAATAATATTAAGTTTTCTGATCCTTAAACGTGGAATGTCTTCCAATATATTTAGGTCTTCTTTAATTTCAACAATATTTTATAGTTTTCATTGTCAAAGTGTTATACTATTTTGTTAAATTTATTTCAAAGATTTTTTAATGCTAACTGTAAATGGAAATCTTTTTGTAACTTGAGTTTTGGATTCCTTAATGTTAGCATATAGAAATAAATTGATTTTTGTATATCCTGCCACATTGATAAACTTATTTATTGATGATAATAGGTTTTAGTGAATTTCTTAGGATTTTATATATATAAGCTCATGCCATCTGCAAACACAGTTTTACTTTTTCCTTTCATTCCTTCTTACCTAATTGCCCTGGCTAGAACCACTAATCCAATATTGAGGTAAAAGTAGCCTTACTCTATAATTATTAAAACCATGTCACAATTTTGTTTTATACTAAGTCCAAACTCTAATCCACTTCAGGGATAATTTCTGTTGGTTACGTTTTCCTTGGGTATATGTCAAAAATTTCTTGTATCTTTGCATGTTTCATATATTTTTGTTAAAAATTGTACATTTTACATAAAATACTGTAACAGCTTTATATCAGATCCCTCCAACACCAAAGGTCTATTATGTTGCTGGTTTTGTGTTTGTTTTCTTCTTTCTGATTATTTGTTTAGTGACTTACCTGAACTAATTGTGTAGATTCTGTTTCTCCTGCAATGTGTAGTTACTTAGTTCTCTGTTAGCTTTTTCTGTTAAGTTTTTGATTATATTTTTAAGCATGGTTTCCTGGAAGTCAGGGGTTCAGCATAATTTGGACATCAACCAATGAGCAGTCAGAAGATTCTTTTTTTTTTTTTTTTTGAGACGAAGTCTCACTCTGTCGCCTAGGCTCGAGTGCAGTGGCACAATCTCGGCTCACCGCAATCTCTGTCTCTCAGGTTCAAGCGATTCTCATGCCTCAACCTCCCAAGTAGCTGGGATTACAGGCACCCACCACCACGTCTGGCTAATTTTTGTATTTTTTAGTTTTGTATTTTGTAGAGATGGGGTTTCACCATGTTGGCCAGGCTGGTCTCGAACTCCTGACCTCAGGTGATCCACCCACCTGAGCCTTCCAAAGTGCTGGGATTACAAGTGTGAGTCACAGTGCCCAGCCTAATCTTTGTCTTTTAATTGGAGTGTAATTTTTTGTTGAAAACTTGACATTTCAGATAATATACTGACAACTCTAGTCAGATCCCTTCCTCTGCCCCAAAGGTATATATTTAATGTAATAAAGTGTGCTTAATCCATCATGCTGCTATTTACTTTTTATGTGTTTCTTCTGTTTTTGCTTTTCTTTTCTCAGATTCTTATTCAAGTTTTTTTTAATCATGTCATTTTATCTCCTTATAAGCTTTTTAGTTATATCTTTTTCTATTGGTCTTTTAATTGGCCCCCTGGATATTACAATGTTCATCTTTGATTATTAGTTTATCTTAAATTAGAACTTTTTACTGTTTTTCAAGCATTGCTAGTACCTTATGACAAATTTAAGTCCATTTACCCCTTGACTACCCTTTATGCTACTGTTGTCATATATTGACTTCTACGTATTTCATAAATGCTAAAAGAAAGTTATTATTGTGTTTACCCATCAATTTTTTATTATTATTATACTTTAAGTTCTAGGGTACATGTGCACGATGTGCAGGTTTGCTACACAGGTATACACGTGCCATGGTGTTTTGCTGCATACATCAGCTTGTCACACACATTAAGTATTTCTCCTAACGCTATCCCTCTCCCAGGCCTCCCCCCTCGGACTGGCCCCAGTGTGTGATGTTCCCCACCCTGTGTCCATGTGTTCTCACTGTTCAACTCCCACTTATGAGTGAGAACGTGTGGTGTTTGGTTTTCTGTTCTTGTGATGGTTTGCTGAGAATGATGGTTTCCAGCTTCATCCATGTCCCTGCAAAGGACATGAACTCATCCTTTTTATGGCTGCATAGTATTCCATGGTGTATATGTGCCACATTTTCTTTATCCAGTCTGTTCTTGATGGATATTTGGGTTGGTTCCAAGTCTTTGCTATTGTGAACAGTGCTGCAATAAATATACGTGTGCATGTGTCTTTATAGTAGCATGATTTATAATCCTTTTTAGTGATCGCCATTCTAACTGGCGTGACATGTTATCTCATTGTGGTTTTGATTTGCATTTCTCTGATGACCAGTGATAATGAGCATTTTTTCATATGTCTGTTGGCTGCATAATTGTCTTCTTTTGAGAAGTGTCTATTCATATCCTTTGCCCACTTTTTGACCCATCAATATTTTTTAATCCTCACCCACCTATTTAGCCTTACCAGTGCTTTTGGTTTGTTCTTGCAGTTCCATGGTTCAATCTGGATAATTTTCCTCCTGCCTAAGAAACTTGCTTTACTGAATCTTAGAAGCACAGGTCTGCCACCTACAAATTCTTTCAGCTTTTGTTTGTTTGAAAAAAATGTATGTTTTTCTGCTTCTCATCTGATTTACTAAAAGATTTTTTCCAGATTTACTGAGGTATAATTGACAAAAACTGCATGTATTCAAGGTGTACAACATAATGACTTGATTTACATTTTTACTGTGAAATGATTACCACAATCAAGTTAATTAACATACCCATCACCACAGTTACTGTCACAGGAGAGTGAGGATACTAAAACAAATTTTTATTCCAATTTAATTTTTCAAGAATATTTCTTCATTGGATAAAGAATTCTATGTTGTCAAGTTTTATTCTTTCGACACCTTTTAAAATATGCCACTCCATTGTCTTTGGAGTTCACAGTTGCTGTTAACAAGTCACTGTCAGTATTATTGTTGTTCCTTGAAAAATAAAAACAACCTTGCTTGGTTGCTTTTGAAACGTTTTCTTTATAATTTAGAGGCTTGACTCATATATCTAGCTGTGATTTTCTTGTATTTATCCTGCTTGGGGCTCACTGCACTTTATGAATTTGTTATTTGCTTTCTTTTATTAGTTTTGGGAAATTATTCCGCCCTTTTGTTTCTCTCCTTTCCTTCTGGAACTTCAGTCACACGTATTTTAGAAATTCTATGTCCCATATGTCTCTTAAACTTTGTTCTGTTATTTATATATTTTTCCTTCTCTGCGCTTCAGTTTGGAAATTTTCTATCTCTGTCTTCAAGTTCACTACTTTTGTATTCTATTGTATCCAATCCATTCTTAAACCATTGAATAAGCTTTTAATTTAATCAAGTGCATTTCTCAATTCTAGACTGTCCATTTCTTTTCTATGTGTTCTAGTTCTCTATTTGAAGTATCCATTCATTTTAGCCATTATTCCTTCCATTTCCTTTTAAACATCATTGTTATTTTAAAGATTGTAAAATACAGCATCAATATCATATGTAGATCTTTTTCTAGTGCCTGCTTTTCTTGATTATCAGTAACATTTTCTGACCTCTTCACATGCTTTGTAGTGTATTGTGTATAAAAGAATGTTGTAATTGTATATCTCAATCACAAAATTGTATCTATGTAATATCAGCCATAATGTACTTTAAAAGCAGAATTTATCAGTATTGCTTTGCTATTCCTACGTTGTATTTGTTAACATATCTTTCATCTAAGAGTTTTTAATCATTCTATAATCTTTTAATTAAAAAAATTCCTATTATAATGTTTTTCCAGGATGAAGTCATAGTTTTTTTTTATTCTAATACTAAAATTCTTTTCTCCATAATTACTATTCTACGAAAAAAAATACTCTTTCTTGAAGATTTTCCCTTGTCCTGGGTCTGCAACCATTCAGGTTAGTTAAATAGTTATATATTTTATCCCTGAATCCCTACTGCTTAGCAAAGTACTTGGTACAGAGTAGATATTCTAAAACTGTTTACTGAAAGAATTAGCAAATGGTCAACTAGTAGCCACCCCAAACTGCTAAGTCATGTTAACTCACAACACATGAAATTGTATTCAAAATTAGCTGTAAATGTGTGATGAAAACTGTTTACACTATCATATACTTTGAGAACCCCCATATCTGAATCATAAAGAATGATTTCTTACCAGCTCTTCTCAGACCTACATGGTGAGTCAGTGATACAGAAGATGACCTTTGCTTCGGGATAGTCAGTAGATTTGAATTAAAAGGCCCATTTAGATAGCATCCTTGACTAAAAGGGAAAAATAACAGGTTAAAATTTGTAAAAACTATGAAAAGTTTCATCTTTTTTCCTTACGGTCCTCAATTTAATTAGCAAATATATTCTCATAAATTCAGAGTTTGGGCCTCTAGTGCCTAAGGTCTAAAGCAGGAGTCAGCAAACTTTTTCTGTAAAGAACCAGATGGTAAATACTTTGGCTATATGTTCTCTATTGTAACTACTCAACTCTGCCGCTATAGCACAAAATCATCCATAAACTAAAATAAACAAACGGGTATGGTTTTGTTTCAATAAAATTTTACTTACAAAAAAACAGGTTATAGACCAGATTAGGTCCATAGGCTGTAGACTGCCGATCCCTGGGCTAAAGCAGGTTATCACAACTACTTTGAAGGTTTCTTGAAACATAGGCTGCTGGTCTCATTCCCAAGGTTTCTGATTCACTACGTCTGGGGTGGGGCCATATAATCTGCACTTCTAACAAGTTCTTACATGATGGAGTTTCTGATCCAGTGACCTCACTGCGAACTACTGGACTAAAGTACAGTTTTTCATTTTTTTCTGTTCCCTATCCTCACAGATGTTGACAACTTTTATTAGTGTAGGCAAAAAACAAGCAGTAAGCAAATAATACCACCCAATGAACTCATCACCCAATGAACTCATCTCCCTGCCAATGCTCTGTCATTCTTCATATTTTCATTGTGTGAAAACAAGTAATTCAAAACCAAAGTTTGGAACTTTTATTTTGAGACTTAAAGGAATGAGATTTTGGGACCTCAGTCATTAACAGGCAGCTGTAACCTAGGCAGATACAACCTTGATTTCCCTGATTACAGATTAGCCTTTTTTCCCCCCTAACTTACATTGCTTTGCTAAATGCTGCAAAAAACTAAAGGATGTCAGAGAAGACTCCTTCCCTCTTTACTGCTGATCTTCATTATAGATTAACTTCCCTTTTTCTTCTCGTACACAAAGACATGTTTTTTAAGATGGAATGTTAAATATATTCTTTAAAATTGGAAAAAGAAAACAAACAAGCTGTAACTAATCAAACTGCTGTAACTCAGAAGCCAACTTTTTGTGGAATATGTTATTCTGCTAAACATCTTTGTTTTCTGCCTATACAAATATGATCCTAACTTTTCAACTTTGAAGCACTGACCCTATTTCCTTGGAGTCTGTGTTTCCTGGATGGGCATCCTCAGCTTGTGTTTGAATACTCTTTTAAGCTGGATTCTTATTCTTTTGATTATTTCATACTGGCAATTGCCTACATGTGGAGTGGCAAAGACTGGAAGAGTAACAGTACCACCCAGGGCAACATTCAAATAGAAAAATCTGCATGTTCCCGGGCAAGACGGCCGAATAGAAAGAGCTCCAGTCTGCAATTCTCAGCAAGATCGACGCAGAAGCTGGATGATTTCTGCATTTCCAACTGAGGTACCTGGTTCATCTCACTGGGACTGGTTGGACAGTAGGTGCAGCCCAAAGAGGGTGAGCCGAAGCAGGGTGAGGCATCACCTCACCCAGGAAGGGCAAGAGGTTGGGAAATTTTCTCCCCTATCCAAGGGAAGCTGTGAGGGACTGTGCCGTGAGGAACAGTGCATTCCAGCCCAGATACTACGCTTTTCCCACAGTCTTCGCAATTCACAGACCAAGAGAGTCCCTCCGGTGCCTACCCCATCAGGGCCCTGGGTTTCAAGTAAAAAATTGGGCAGCCATTTGGGCAGACACCAAACTAGCTGCAAGAGTTTCTTTTTGTTGTTGTTGTATTGTTTTTTCCATACCACAGGGGCACCTGGAATGCCAGCAAGACAGAACCCTACACTTCCCGGGAAAGGGGGCTGAAGCCAGGGAGTCAAGTGGTCTGGCTCTGCAAGTCTCATCCCCACAGAGCCCAGCAAACTAAGATCCACTGCCTTGAAATTCTCACTGCCAGCACAGCAGCTGTCTGAGATCCACCTGGGATGCTCAAGCTTGGTGTGGGGAGGGGCATCTGTCATTGCTGAGGCTTTAGTAGGCGTTTTACCCTCACAGTGTAAACGAAGTCACCCAAAAGTTTGAACTGGGCAGACCCCACTGCAGCTCAGCAAGGCCACTGAGGCCAGACTGCCAGATTTCTCCTCTCTGGGCAGGGCATCTCTGAAAAAAAGGCAGCAGCCCCAGTCAGGGACTTATGGATAAAACCCCAATCTCCCTGGGACAGAGCACCTGGGGGAAGGGATGGCTGTGGGTGCAGCTTCAGCAGACTTAACCATCCCTGCCTAATGGCTCTGAAGAGAGTAGCAGACCTCCCAACACAGCATTCGAGCTCTGCTAAGGGTCAGACTGCCTCCTCAAGTGGGTCCCTGACCCCCAGGTACCCTGACTGGGAGACACTTCCCAGCAGGGGCTGAAAGACATCCCACACAGGAGAGCTTTTGCTGGCATCTGGCAGGTGCCCCTCTGGGACAAAGCTTCCAGGGGAAAGAACAGGCAGTAATGATTGCTGTTCTGCAGCCTCTCCTGGTGACACCCAAGCAAACAGGGTCTGGAATGGACCTCTCGTAAAGTGCAGCAGACCAGAAGCAAAGGGGCCTGACTGTTGGAAGGAAAACGAACAACAGAAGAATAGCATGTCCACTCAAAGACCCCATCCGAAGGTCACAAACATCAAAGACCAAAGGTAGATAAATCCACGAAGATGGGGAGAAACCAACACAAAAAGGCTGAAAATTCCGAAAAACACAACGCCTCTTCTCCAAATAATCACAACTCCTCACCAGCAGGGGAACAAAACTGGATGGAGAATGAGTTAGACAAACTGACAGAAGTAGGCTTCAGAAGGTAGGTAATAACAAACTAATCTGAGCTAAAGGAGCATGTTCTAACCCAATGCAAGGAAGTTAGGAACCTTGAAAAAAGGTCAGACGAATTGCTAAATAGAATAACCAGTGTAGAGAAGAAAATAAATGACCTGATGGAGCTGAAAAACACAGCACGAGAACTTTGTGAGGCATACACAAGTATCAATAGCCGAACTGATCAAGCAGAAGAAAGGATATCAGAGACTGAAGATCAACTTGACGAAATAAAGCAAGAAGATTAGAGAAAAAAGAATAAAAAGGAACGAAGAAAGCCTCCAAGAAATATGGGACTATGTGAAAAGACCAGATCCACGTTTGATTGGTGTACCTGAAAGTCACAGGAGAAATGGAGTCAAGTTGAAAAACACTCTTCAGGATATTATCCAGAACTTCCCCAACCTAACAAGACAGGCCGACAATCAAATTCAGAAAATACAGAGAACACCACAATGATACTCCTTGAGAAGAGCAACCCCAAGACACATAATTGTCAGATTCACCAAGGTTGAAATGAAGGAAAAAATGTTAAGGGCAGCCAGAGCGAAAGCTTGGGTTACTCACAAAGGGAAGTCAGCAGAAACCCTACAAGCCAGAAGAGAATGGGGGCCAATATTCTTTTTTTTTTTTTTTTTGAGATGGAGTCTCTCTCTGTCACCTACGATGGAATGCAGTGGCGTGATCTCAGTTCACTGCAACCTCCGCCTCCCAAGTTCAAGCAATTCTCCTGCCTCAGCCTCCTGAGTAGCTGGGATTACAGGCACACACCACCAAGGCTGGCTAACTTTCGTATTTTTATTAGAGATGGGATTTCACCATGTTGGTCAGGCTGAACTCAAACTCCTGACCTCATGATCTACCAAAAGAAAAGAACTTTTAACCCAGAATTTCATATCCAGCCAAACTAAGCTTCATAAGTCAAGGAGAAATAAAATCCTTTACAGACAAGCAAATGCTGAGAGATTTTGTCACCACCAGGCCTGCCTTACAAGAGCTCCTGAAGGAAGCACTAAACATGGAAAGGAACAACCAGTACCAGCCACTGCAAAAACATACCAAGTTGTAAAGACCATCTACACTATGAAGAAACTGCATCAACTAAAGGGCAAAACAACCAATTAGCATCATAATGACAGGATCAAATTCACACACATTAACCTTAAACATAAACAGGCTAAATGCCCCAATTAAAATACACAGACTGGCAAATTGGATAAGAGTCAAGACATATCAGTGTGATCTATTCAGGAGACCCATCTCACCTGTAAAGACACATCAGGCTCAAAATAAAGAGATGGAGGAATATTTACCAAGCAAATGGAAAGCAAAAAAAAAAAAAAAAAAAGGCAGGAGTTGCAATCCTAATCTCTGATAAAACAGACTTTAAACCAACAAAGATCAAAAGAGACAAAGAAGGGTATTACATAATGGTAAATGGATCGATGCAAAAGAACTAACCATCCTAAATACATATGTACCCAATACAAGAGCACCCAGATTCATAAAGCAAGTTCTTAGAGACCTACAAAGAGACTTAGACTCCCACATAATAATAGTGGGAGACTTTAATACCCCATTGTCAATATTAGATCAATGAGACAGAAAATTAACAAGGATACTCAGGACTTGAACTCAGCTCTGCACCAAGTGGACCTAATAGACATCTACAGAACTCTCCACCCCAAATCAACAGACCATACATTCTTCTCAGCATCTCATTGCACTAATTCTAAGACTGACCACATAATTGGAAGTAAAACACTCCTCGGCAAATGTAAAAGAACAGAAATTATAATAAGCTGTCTCTCAGACCACAGTGCAATCAAATTAGAACTCAGGATTAGGAAACTCACTAGAAACCACACAACTACATGGAAACTGTACAACCTGCTCCTGAATGACTACTGGGTACATAACGGAATGAAGGCAGAAATAAAGATGTTCCTTGAAACCAATGAGAACAAAGACACAACATACCAGAATCTCTGGGACACATTTAAAGCAGTGTGTAAAGGGAAATTTATAGGACTAAATGCCCATAAGAGAAAGCAGGAAAGATCTAAAATTGACACCCTAATATCACAATTAAAAGAACTAGAGAAGCAAGAGCAAACATATTCAAAAGCTAGCGGAAGGCAAGAAATAACTAAGATCAGAGCAGAA